TATCAGACAATATCAAGCATGGCGATCGGTCATCAAAAATTTTAACACTGACCATTCAATATCACAATATCTGGTCTGTACAGGTTTTTGATGGACCATATAATCGTATGGCTTTCAGATTGTAAGTCTGTATAAGATGACAACTCTAAAGTGAATCGGACTTGGCCAAAAAGTTAACGTTAAAGTCCCCCATAACTCAAACTTGACGGTTTCAAGCCTTAGCATATATATATATTACATAGGGCGGGCGACCAGGACCCGAGGGGTTAAAAGCCTGAGTAGGCCCGTACCCCATCCCTAAAAGGTCCGGGACCTGGTCGGCTCACGAGTCCTGTATAAACCTTTTGGACCTATTCACAAACCCCAGGATTGTGGACCATTTTATCCTGGGGAGTGTTTTGGTTATGTCCTCTCCTTCGAAAGTATTAAATCTTTCCCTAGCATACCTATCGCATTCTGCGAGGTAGTGTCGAGCCGTTTCTTCTTTAGTTTCGCAGAAGCGGCAGAAGGGGTCTGGTAGAGTACCCATTATGAAGAGGTGTCTTCTCAAGGGGCAATGGCTCGTTAGGATACCTATCAGCCTCCTTATTCCCCTCCTAGAGTTAGAGAGTAGCCATTTCGTTTCTTTAGGTTTGATTTCCTTCAGAAACTCCTTCGATTGCCTGCATCCGGGGGACATATTCCATTCCTTAAGGAATTGTTTCATGCCCCAGCTACCTATACTCTCTTTTGCTGTGCTTAAAGAGTGGGGTAATACCGGTTGTGGTCCGACGAACTCAGTATTTGATCCTTCCTTGGCCAGGCTGTCCGCCTCCTCATTGCCATAGTGCCCCTTATGAGCAGGTATCCATATGAGGGTTACCCTATTCTCATACCTGGTGATAGTCCTATTAATGAGTTCAACGGAAAGCCTTAGCATAAGTCGAGATAGCACAATCTAGGCAATCATGAAATGCGGAATTCTATTTTAGGTGCAGCTGAAGATTAGTGATTAGTAGTTGGGTAAATAGGAATGGCATATCGACCCCTTTATATGTGTCAAAGGATCACGAATTGAGGCCAATAGAACATTTACGATGAAGTACAATGTTCCTGATTTTCGTATTTAGGAACAGGCTCGGAAATGGAGCGAATTCATGCTCTGCTTGATTAAACATCTTGTCCAAACCGGGAGAATCGTATTGATTTCATAACTCGAAATCGTGTTATTTGTCTACTATCGTACATAAAAGAGAGTGGAAGTGGTAAAAACCGTGCGTGATTTGACATCTGACAATTTCATTAGGGCGATGCGAAAGGTTTTTCCTTGTCTTTTGCGGGACCTGCCCGATGAGAAAAGGAAAACGGAAAGAACCAGAGCAGGAATAATCGTAATTATATGAGAGTCACGGGTGGAGGAAAGATGCGCCAGACCTGAAAACTGGCCGTTGTTTTACATGCATTTAACGCTTCGATCAAAAGAAAAACACTCAAAGAGGCCACGTCACGTGAGATGGCCGGTTTTTGAATTATCATCGCAATAATTTTCGGACAATCGATGGTTTCCCCTCTCGAAAATAATGCACAGTCGTTATCGAAATGACTCAGCGACTTGTTAAAACAACAACACAAAAACTGTTATTTAGAAACGTGCCTCATGGCAGAAGCTAGTGCACGTATGCGCTAATCGCGGAAAAGCCTTTGGAATTTTTGATTCGTTACGTCGTACGTACGTGAGCTTGATATTCGAAACCAACGCAGAAATCCAAAAATGCTTTAACAGTGGGCTTTATTTCTCGCAGCGATTTTGTCTACATGAAAGAAAAAACTGCCCCTCGTTGAGACTAACCGATCAAATCGTCATATAAAAAGTCTGGAGAATTTTGCCAAAAAAGGACCTAGTCTCGAAAATAATTCAAATGTGGCAGGAAACGTGGAAGTTAAAAAGACGGCCTGTTGAACGGCATCCGACAGGCACAGTTGCCTCCTCCTTCGCGAGGACCGTGAAGACGTTAGGTTCAAATGTTTAATCTTTGTCCACAGTGACAGGTAAGTACCGTAGATTTAAAACGTTGTGTGCTTCTCTTTCTTTCTTTTCAAACGATCATTCAGAATGCTTTTACCCTTTTAAACAAGACACGTACTTTTCAAAATGGCGGATTTGCAAAACTCACTGGTGGGGTTTAGTTATTCACTGATCACGGTAATTTTTACGATGGGCAACCGGGTATAACATAATTACATCAACATTTTTTTGACAAGATCGACAAGATTTTTTAATTTACTGCCATCTGTACGAAATAAATATATGTACATTGAACGAATTTAACGTTATATAGAAATCTGACGGATCACTCAGACCAGGAGGCAGTTAGGAGAGAAACCAGCCAGTGCTGGAATTTATTGGAAGGTTGAGATATTGGAGTTTACAAGGGTGGGAGGTTGCGGGGTTAGTAGCTAGTCGGTTAGGTTGAATGGATAGTTTAGGGTGGAAATTGAGGAAGCATCAGGAACGAATAGGATTTTAACCTTTTTATAACGATTTAATGGATCATTTGATTCGTGACTAGAAGAGAGCTTGGAGGATTGAAAGAAAGACTGGATTCGTTGGATGTTGGCACATTTGGCCTCACACTCGACTTCCAAGTCCAAGTAGGTCTGATGAGCGTTTTGAAGGCGTTTAGTTTGTTATCTAGGATAAGTGTTGGATTTTGGTCCCAGTAGACCTCTGAGTATTCCATATCTTTTGTTAAGTTCTTGTCTTTTTAAACATGCATGTAGGTTCCTTGTATGTCTGCTATCTAAGTAAAGCTCAAGTTAGCGGACTTGGTTGGATGGTAGTACCTTGTTTTTTGTATACACTGCTGGACAGGATAATGTTTGAGCATCATTACACCTTTTTTTTAATCGTTCAACCCCGCAACCGAGTGCACCAGACGGTAATGAGGTTAAAATGTAGGATTGCTTCTGTGGCTAGAATAGGATTGCGGTATCGCACAGTTGTGAGTTGTGTGTTTGGGTACGTAGGTATTTCAGTGTAGATGGTGAAGAGGATTGGACCTAGGATACTCCCTTGTGGAACGACAGCTTTGATTGGCGCGATAGGTGAAAAATCTGTGCCGATTCTCACTTTACCCCATCGATGGACTTCACGATGAGATGGTAGGTGTGAGGGAGGATACGCTTTAACAGGTATAGGACGGTCCCACACTTGGTCGTACACTTCTGTAACTTTCAGAAATACGGATGTGCAACATTATTTGTATTCTAGAGACGAGGATATGCGTTATAAGATAAAAGTAAAATACAATATATATACCGAGTAGCCCACTGTCGCTAATATTTTAAGTAGAGTTACCTAACTAACCTACGAATTTCCAAATAGGAATTTAACAGCAAAAACTAAAACACAATTACCTTTAGTTCGGAAATAATTTAAATTATGTCAAAACTAGGTGATTCGCACTATTCTTTTTCATCCTGGCGACCCTAGTCAGCTCTATTCATTGACCCAAACTGAAACAATCTGGAGAAATCTATGTAGAATTGTCTTATTAAAAAGTAGAGTTGTTGTCGGTGAATTTGGTGGATTGAGTCAATATTTTGGTTTTCGGTTCTTTTCCTTTTTAATTTTTGTAATATTTTTAATGGTGGAAAAGATGTTGTTTTGTATTAATAATTTTCCTATTGTGTTCGTAGTTTTCAGTGCTCGTTTTATGATAATTTGTGGAATACATTAGTTACTTTGTATGTTTCTTTCCCAATCTATGTGAATCCTATTAAATTGCTGACATGGACCCATACGAAAAATCCATATATTATTATATTATGTTTTTATAGTTTTCAACTAACAATAAGTCTATTATGTAAAGGGTCTATTATGTCTATTAATTTCTATTATGTCATACAATGTCTATTATGTAATACTATACTAGAAGACCGCAAGATGCACTGAAAAGAGGCAGATAGGGAATAAAAATAAAATAGAGTTCATTCAATACAACGTTTGTTTATGTATATAGACAAAACAATTTTTGTCCAAGCTAGTGTCAAAGAATGTATAAATAACCAAAAGTATGTTCAATCTAGTTCAAACAAAATCAATGATATGTAAATTTTGTTTAGTTTTTCCAAGAGACAAATTATATTCTACCATTTTACCTTGTAACGATCTTGGGGGAAAACAGAAATATAATAAAACGCTGGTATTAAGCAAAATGTATGTCATTGTCTATTTTTTCATTAGTACATCATTACGAATTTAGAAACTCTCCAGAAGCCTTTTACTCCATCCCGACGTGAGAAATGATCACGCCACAACAGTTTTTTTAAAAGAACGTTTATGTAAGTTCTATTAAGGGGTTCGAGTGATGAAACGACTTGAAGAGGAGCAAGCAGTTTGTCACATTTCATAACTGTCTTAATGAGCAAACATAAAAAAATTTAGTGTGGGCTAGGCATCACATAAGAAAGAAACGATTACATGATGCGCACAGGTATGATTGATTTTATTGAAAAAAGCGAAAAATTGTTAAGGATGGCATTGAACACATAAGATAAGTGAATAATAACTGATAACTGAATTCTTTTCTAAAGTAAACAATATTAGCAAACGTTTCTTTGCGGTAGTACAAAGTCGTCGATACGTCTGGTTTTCAAATAATTCAGCATTTCTAAGAGAAAAACTATGTCAGTTTAAATCATTTTAAATATGGCAAAAAGAGACAAACCAGTATGACTATCGGCCATAATTCTGTAAAAAAATATATATTTTTATTCCTGCGTGTGTATTTTTTATTATTCACCTTATTTAACTGGATATTATACACAATAATTATTTCTATTGTGGTTGTTTTCTCTTCTCATACATAGATGTTTATTCAGAATAAGTATTTGCATTCTTGAATACGATAAGCAGAAGGTGAGAGTGAACATGGATTAAAAAAAAACCATTGAGGGGTTTGTATGTAAATAATATAGTTTTTGAAATTGAAAAATATGTAAAATCCATTTTTACTTACCGACATATGGGAATAGTCAACTTTTATGAGACGCCTGGAATTTCTGGTAACTTGCTCCGAGTTACTTTTACTCGAGAGAGGGGCTTCATTATCTTCTGGTAGCTTTTCACCCTTCGCATCTGAAAAAAAAATAATACATTGAATTAATATAAATACTACTTTTGTTCATACGTGAAATATTTTGATTTGTGTTCAACCTTTCTATCAAGTAGTATTCGAGTATTAAAAAACAATATAATAATTGATAAAAATATAATTATATAATATACAGCTAACAAGATAAAATTTATTTTGTGCGGTGGGTTATTAGTTATATTACTTTTTGGCATGTTTATATTTTCGATTTAGTAAAATAAAACGCAAACCTCACCAGAGATTATGTCGAAAGGGCAAAATGATCGGAAACAATCAAACTGCTGAACCTTTTATTAGTTTTAATTTCAAATGGTGAATAAACTACCTTTCTGGTTTTTTCTATCCAGGGAAATAAATTCAACTATAAGGAGTGGGCGGCATATTAGCATAATTAGATTTAAATCAAAAGATTGTAAAATATCACTTTAAGCAAACATGTCATCTTTTAATTTTAATTTTATCGAAACGATCTCATATTTGTCAGTTGGTCAATAGGAGCTTTCGCTCTCACTCTCTCACTTAATTAATCCCTCACTTTTCTCTCTCTTTTTCTGTTATTTACTTACTCACTCTTTCTCGCTCACTCTCTCTGTCTTTCCCCCACTTAATCACTATCCCACTTACCACCTACTCACTCTGTCTCTGTCCCTCACTCACTTACTCTCTTTTTCTCTCTCCCTGTCACCACTCATTTCTCTGTAGTCACTCACTTGCACACTCACTCCCTCTCCCTCTCACATAATTACTCACACTTTCTTCTACTTACTTATTCTCTCTGTCTGTCTGCCTGTTTCTCTCTCACCCTCCAACTTACTCCCATTACTTCTCTCTCTCTGACTAACTTACAATCCCACGCATCACTTACTATCTTGCTCACTCACTTTTTCACAATCCCACTTTCTCACTCTCTCTCCGTTACCACTCATCTCTCTGTCACTCACTCACTTGCCCACTAACTCCCGCTCTCCTTTTTAATTACTCTCTCTCTCTCTCTCTCTCTCTCTCTCTCTCTCTCTCTCTCTCTCTCTTTCTCACTTACTCATTCTCTGTCTATCTGCATATAAATCTAAATATATTTCTATCTATCTCAACCTCATCCGCACAGGACCTGGTCCGTTGGTCGATTTATTTGTTTTGATGTTATAGTAATTGTCTTAATTTAACGGAATGTACTTTCCAGTATAAACTATTTATTAACAAAATATATTTCTCCATAATAAATCAATCTACACATATCGGTATTGCATTTTTTATTACAGTTATGTAGTGTCAATTTCCGGTCTTACAATATTTATGCTGACTCACGACTGAAGATGGCGAGATGCCGAAACGCGTCTGCATATCAAAACGGGGAGGTTAGCTATATCAAAGGTTCATCATCCCCCAGACTCCAAGAGGAAATATGACGATTTACTTTTTTTGTGCAGAACGCAATTTCGGGCGAAGTGAGCAAGATAAAATAAATAGCCATTATAATTATTTAGGTAACTAATTTCTTGTAATAAAAATCTCCACGAAAACTCTTTCTCGCTTTGATAAAAGTTAAAAAACAAACAAGGAAGAAAAATTACAAACAATACTCCGTGTTATCTCTTTATTATCTCCGTGCCACTTAATTATGGCGGTTCTTCCTAATAAAGGATCCCCTACGTTTCAACACCTCTGTTAACTCTTGCAGTTTCGCCAACTCTATTGTCATGCTAATGAACCGGCAGAAGAGAGGACCGTTCACAGTTAGCCACTAAACTGTCGGTTTATTGAAAACCAGTTTATGTAATAAATCATGGGATGATGCGACGTCGATTGTTAATAACTATTGCAGTATTTCATCATGAAGCCGACCTACAAAACATTTCATATGCTAAATCGTTCAACCTTTGAGAGCGGACGTTATTTTCACGTATTTGTCGGAGGTGCAGAGTATGAAATTAACCTAGATTTCTGTTTGAACGAGAGTGCGAAGGTGAATGGTAAATGTTATATCTTCGTTGCTAGCCCGCGTGACAATCCGCTCTTTTAGTTCAACAAAGGAATAACGTTTCACTCCGAAGAAACGGGCCGTGAATCCATGAATAATTTTAAAATAGGAATTTTTTTTCGAATGGCAAATAATCTTGTGAACGAACATGCCAATCGAATGATCACGTATGCGAATATTTCCATGTAGACAAGGTTAGCGAGATTTCAAACTTATCGAGTTCGGTGAGTCGGTCGCCGTCTATCTAGATCGATCATAGCAAAGCCGAATGGCTAGAGAAAAAGCCCCGGAGAAATGATCATGCCAGATGGCAGACAGTCGCTTTTGTAAAAAAACCGGTCGGACCAATCTAAACTGAAAGCCTTTGAAGATAACTTTCATTGGTGACTCACGTCTAAACCAGTTCTAGTTTTCCCTGCCCTGAGTTCAAACTCAAACTTAAGAGTAAAATTTAAATTCACTAATTTCGTGGTCCGCTTGACCAATTAATATATTACAATTAATTAAGGTTTTTACTTGAGATAAAAAAGTCAATGGTACTTGCGGGATTCGAACCCACTATCTTCGGCTTGATACGCCGCTGCTCTACCACTTGAGCAAATGGCAAAAAGGAGGGAAAATTCAAAAGGTACGGTTGAGATGGGAAGTTGGTGTCCGAGTGGATCGAGGTCACGATAGCTCAAGTGGTAGAGCAGCGGAGTATCAAGCCGAAGATCGTGGGTTCGAATCCCGCTCGTGCCATTGACTTTTTTATCTCAACTATAAACCTTAATTAATTGTAGTAAAATTTAAATTTAACATCAGGAAAATAAAACCGAATGACCGGCCGAAATAAAAAGCGGGCGAGTCTAATTAATGGAACAAATTTTTAATTGAAGAAAATGAAGCAAAATGAAGTACAACTAAGAAGGTAAAGCTTAACTTTGTTCTTCCCATAAGCGGGGATGTGTTGAAGGTCGCTCATCCTTTGACATTTTAAGGCGAATTATTAAAAGGTTCCGGCCCAGAGGTCTGGATCTCCAGTTAGTCATTAATATCCCTAAATGAAAACATGGTAAACTTTAGGACGATGGAAAGAGCAAAAGGTGGATTTCAACTATCTAGAGGCTGTAATAAGGCAACAAATAAAATCAATCAAATTCAATAGGTCTTTATCGAAGATTCTTCGATCAGGGACTTAAACAAGGATGACGAATGACCACTTGGCGAAGTAACCAAGGATCGATGCGGTTTTTTGTAGGAAGATGGTTAGTACAGATCATCCGACGAGTCATTTTTTTTTTGTCCTAACGTCCTTACGAAAATGCCGTGTTGGAAGAATTAAATCAACTGTTTAAAGAATGGGCAATGAAGATTGACTACGACAAAACAAAGTACACGGCGGTCCTAGAGAGAATGAGACTACGTGTATTTACTGATGGTTGAGACTGCAAAGATGTGAAACTTGAAATAACTGATTTCTCTACCAGCGTGAACCTGAAGAGCAAACGAAAAGGCTACTAAAACAACGAGGAAACTTCATACTGTAACTGGAACAGTAGCCTCTCAAGGTAAACAAAATCACAATTTTTTAATCGATTGTGGAAGGTATTCGAGACTTGGGGGCGATGTACCTTTGGAAAATGTGCTTTAAAAAGACAAGGGCAGATAGAACAGAGAATAAAGAAGTGAGCTATGGAAATAGAGGAAACCGCAGATAAATGGCAGTAGAAGGTGAAGGAGTGAGTCCTGCTAAGAAGGAAGAGGCAGACCAGCGCGAATACGTAGCAGATCTTAAGGAAGAACGTCGACAGAACTCAGCATCGACGAATAAAAACACCATAAATCATACAAAATACAGTTTGAAGAAGAGGAGTTCGGACCGAATGTACATGGTTTGTCTGAAATACTTTTTTTTTTGCCGGTGTTTTTGAAAAAAAGCCCATTTGTAAGTATGTCGGGTTCGAATGCAAGGCCGCTGGATTCGAACCCGGGACCTTTACCTTCAGTGATAAGCGCCGTGTCAAAGACTAAACCTTGCGGCCACCGACGCCCCTGAAATACTTGATTGTTTTTCAATAAGCAACAACGCGTGTTGTTAAGGAGATATCACGCACCATTTTTTTTTGTAATGACAGGATTTTACAGACAGGTCGCCGGAATGAAACACGACCGACCTAAGCCTCAATTTGGAAGGTGAGTCAGGCTTTTGGCCCTCCTTGGGGGAACCTAATCGTTCTTTCGCCCCTATCCTGTATCGACGTTTCTTCACTCCTACACCAGCCCATATCAAAATAGCACAGTTTACATGTTACTAATTCACTCGACCTCGATCTCATGAAGGTAAATACGAAATCGATTTATTTATGCGCTTGTTAGCATGATGTTCAGTCAATTTATAACTTAAGAAAATCAAACTTTTTTATCTCAACCAATACCTTTCATAAATATTAATTAATTGAAAAATGTTAATTGGTCAATCGGATCACGAACTGTAACGGACTTAAGAAAACGTTTAACAGGAAATGTTTTTATGCACTTCTATGCAACGATCTGACTTTTTTTTTTTGAAAACGATTATGCATCATGGGTTTGGAGTAATGTTTGTGGTACCATTTTATATTGATTTTTTAATCAATTAACGTTATTGCTAATTAAACAAGAGCGAAAAAAATGCTTAAAAATATCAAGCCTATCGAGACCATCGAATGTCCACGTTCAAATACTTTCTTTGGAGAGACTTCTGAAGGGAAAGCTTCTTGGCTTAGCGGCCTTCCGGTTTGGTCAAGATGGGCGTAACTGTACCACTCCTAGAAGCACGGATAATAAGATTAGCCGTGTCTCGCCTCGCCGACTCTGTCGACCTATTGATTTCAAACGTTCCAGAATAGAAGAGCAATTGTGTTGTTTACCGTTCGACTTTTCAAAAGGTGGAACGGTCGAGGGAAATTCCGTAACGACTTTGAACGCCGATCCATATGCCGTGAGAACCCCGATAATTGTTACTCTCGTATGCGAGGACTGCGG